AGCTTATGTGACCTCATGTAATATTTTTATTAATAAAAATCTTTTGTTTTGGATGTGAAGGTTGTGGTGGAAAATGTTTATTTCCTCAAAGATCCAATCTGGTATAAAATATTTTCTTCTTTTGAACCAAAAAGTGATTATGTATTTAATTTTGTAACACACACTGACAAAAATAAAAATTATTCCTATAAATCTAACTGATGTGGATCCTTTGAAACAAAGTCATTTAGTTACTATTGTGCTTTCTGTAATGCAAGGTTTTCTTGATCAAGGATACTGTCTATGCATTGACAGTTATTATTTTAGTGTGTATTTGTTAGATTATCTAGTATCCTGAAAAACTGATGTTATTGGTACAGTAAGAAAAGAACAAAGGAGCTTCTAGAACAAATTTTTTCATCTAAACTGAAAGGGGAGACATCAGTAGTTATGTATCAAGGCAAAGATATGTGATGAAGTAGAACGACAGAAAAGATGTTTTTATCATGACCATAACAAGAAAAAGTACACGAAAGCAGAAGCCAAAAGTATATATTGAATACAAACACCATCTGACAAACGTGGATTTATCAACAGCAAAACAGTGCTAGAATGCATGTAAAAAAAATATACGAAACTTTACCTTAGATTTTTGGACATCTGTATATAAAATGTGCATATTATTCACAAAAAATTAGGAGGAAATCTTACATTACTCTCTTTCAAATTAAAATTGATTGTTACATTGTTCGAGACATATGATGAAGTTGAAGACATTACACTGTGAGAAGAATGGAAGAATGGCCACCTCAGAGGTCAGAACTTTTTGGCATAGATCCAAGGAGCAGAGATAGATGTTTACAAAGACAGCGTGTAGTATGTTCTGCAAAGAAAGGGAAAAAATGTGTAATAATTCTTTTGCAGGTAACGTGATAAATAAGGTGTGCTGCAAAAATATAAGGCTACCCTAATTTTTTGGAATAATAAATTTTTTTTACACTTAAACGAAAAATTAATGACAAGAATTAATGGTTATGTACAACAATTACTTATTCTNAAATATATGAAACTTTACCTTAGATTTTTGGACATCTGTATATAAAATGTGCATATTATTCACAAAAAATTAGGAGGAAATCTTACATTACTCTCTTTCAAATTGAAATTGATTGTTACATTGTTCGAGACATATGATGAAGTTGAAGACATTACACCGTGAGAAGAATGGATTTGCCTATACCTGGCCACCTCAGAGGTCAGAACTTTTTGGCATAGATCCAAGGAGCAGAGATAGATGTTTACAAAGACAGCGTGTAGTATGTTCTCCAAAGAAAGGGTAAAAATATGTAATAATTCTTTTGCAGGTAACGCGATAAATAAGGTGTGCTGCAAAAATATAAGGCTACCCTAATTTTTTGGAATAATAAATTTTTTTTACATTTTTTGTTTAAAAGAATTACTTATTCTGTTTACAATCAAAAATAATGTGTTGCAAAAATGAAAGGCCAGTTGCAATTTTGAGTGATTTATCAAAAAAAAAAAAACTTTACTGTCATCTATAATTTAATAATTATAAAGAGATAGTAGCACTTTGTAATTGCAAATTGAGGCATAATTGCATTTATAACAGCATTAATTATCGTGATAACTAATTTTAACAATGGGTAGAGATAAGTCCTAAATCATGTTTTGAGTGTGGCCGAATCAAGGCGCACTATCAGGCTGAAAGTTCTGCTAGAGCTATTGCAAAACAGCTGAGGAGACCTCATTGTGTTGTAGCCAGTTATATTAAACTTGGTGTTCAGTATGGAAAGAGAAAACAAACAGGATGGCCTTCCAAGTTGAGAGAAAGCTGAAATCAGCAATTATTTGAGAAATATTGACAACAGGAACATAGATGTGAAATAGGACAAAAGCCTGACGATGAACACAAATCCACACCTTCCTGAATGGTAAAATCAATAAAATATTTTCATGAATTTTTCTATATAATACAATGGAACAGATCATAAAGTGTTTACTTAAAATCAAAGATAAGTTTTCTGAAGAAAAGTTGAAAGAAAAGATGAAATTTAAGATCACTACTTATCAGAACAAAATCTTACAAATGCCTCACACGATACAATGCTGCCACAAACATAATTTCCCTTTTATTTATAAAATAACCTTATTAAACTAGAACACTAATAAATTTATCAAATATATCAATTATAAACATATTGTACTAGTTAGTTGGTCCGTATCTTTGTATTTTCAGCAATAATATCAGCTGCGTCGGAATATAAATGTATTTATTGCTGTAGAACTTTCACTATTTTTATTTTCTAAATGATGAGCCATTGGTGTACTCATTCTTTCCAAATTTTCAATGATTTCTTCTATTCTGTTTCATTAATGTTTATCTGGCTCCAGTGCATTGTCAAAATCAAGTTTTTCAGCCTCTGTTGATTTGAAAAATCTCTCTAGTATTGGTTTTTATACTTAAAATTGCTTCACTGGTTGATTGATTGCCTTTTATCCAAAGCAGTGTTAAACTATTTTAGTATATATGTTAGTGTCAGAATTTGTGTATTAATACATAAAAGTTTTATGTGGGTGGTTTGTTATTTGTTCTGCTGCAGTCAAAATTGTATAGTGTTGTTATTTCAGTTTACTAAGTTGGGTTACCACCATCCCTGCTGTAACCTTTGACACTCAACAGTGACATTCTAGTTGTGTTAGGAAAGAAAGTGAGAGTTGGTGGTCAGTCTTTTTTGTGTATGTTGTGAATTGCTATACATTAGTGTTTTTTAACTGCTGGCTCATGGACCACTGCTAGTCCTCAAAAAAATTTCATCAGACTGCAGGAAAATATCGATCATACTGATGCTGGTGCAGTTGATTATTTAAATAGTAATCTAGAATTACTGTACTTACTTGGTTACATGCAGTATTAATTAAATTAATTAATTAAACATGCTTTATTATCAATTTAAAAACATTTTCCAGTTGTTGGCCCCTCACATTGCAAAGTCTGCACGGGTAATTGTTATGGCTCTGACATCATCCCTTCTCGACCCTTTCACATTTCTAACACCTTCCCAAATTAAAATATTTTGTTTTGATTCCACCTTGTTCTCATAATGTCATTACTTTGAAGATTTGTGAATTAAAGTTGATCTAAATGTGTAAATTAGTTTTGTTGAATAGATGACTTAATAGAAAAATATTAATTTTTTCCAGGAATTGAGGAGCAAATTCGTGAAATCCAAGCAATGAAAGCTGGTATAACAGCTACCAGACATGAAAATGGAGATGGAGGAGTTCCTTTAGTTGCTTCATCAGGTTCATACATGGATGAAGATATTTATGGGAGTGGTAAAACTAAATTTGAGGATTATGTAACATCTATCGCAGCCAATGACGAAGCTGAAGCAGATGTAAGTATGAAAAACATGTTTGTGTGTACATTTTATCTGCCAGAGAAATCAAGTGTTTGATATTTATTTAACTAACTAATTATTTAAGTATTTACAAAGAATTAATTGTTGAATTTTGGAAAAACTTCATATATAATTATTGCTTTGTTTACAGGATGATGATTATGAAGCAACTACTCTCGTTCAAAACAAACGTGCTACCTATACAGCTCCAACATCTTTCTTAAATGAACTTGTTACTACAGATAAGGTATGTATGCATTGTTATAAATTTTTATTTAACCTTGAAAGTAATTAAGGGCTTATATATATAATTTTATGTAGAAAATGAAAGCAGTCTCACTGCATTTGATATTACACCATTCGATACAATTTTTATGTAATTAAGAATTTAAGTCTAAGTAGTTTAATTATTTGCTTATTCTTTTATTTATATTTTACTTGGAACTGTTTTAAATCTTTAAATTAATTAGTTAACTGTTTATTTTTCTCTTTCTTTCCTAGTGTAGTAAAAAGATATACAGAAAAAACATTTACACTTAACACCATATTCAAAGTTATTAGAAACAACCAGGAACCAATGAATTTGGTTTACTGAATAAAATTATTAGTCTATGAATGTTTTTTCAAGTTTATGTAAATGTAGAATTTTCAGATATCTCTAATTTATTTTTGTTGAGAATAAACAGTTCATGATTTCAAGTAAATACAAATGCTTTGATAATAAAACTGAACATTTAATTATTCATGCAGCTTACACTGAATGCCGAAGTGTTTATTGTCAGTTTGCAACTTTTAATTTCAGTAGGAATATTTTTAAACTATCAGTTGTGATAAACTTGAAACAGAAATAACCACAAAATCATTTAACTGTGTAATGTGTTAAAGTGCTTTTCAGGATCATTCCCATCATCTGTTTCAAATGTTTAACATGGATCTGACAATTGGACAGTATGATGCCGAAAAGCAACTTATCACATTAAAAAAGTCAACTCCTTTAAATATTTTTGTAGTTATTTCTGTTTTTAAGTTTAAAGAACAAATAAGTGGTATAGTATTTAATTGCAGTTTAGAGTGCACACCAGTAGTTCTCAGGGNCTTTGTGATGGTGAAATCGAATGAATGTAAAATGTAATATTGTGTGTGTCTGGGGATAGGTGGGTGTTATTTATTAAATAAAAGGGTTTTAGTGAAAGTCTTGAAATAACCAGAGCGTTATGTAGACACTCAGCACTTAATTTACAAATTAATTAAATTCATATACTGATATATTTATAAAAAACGGAATAATCAACAGTGTTATAGGGGGGGTTGACTGTATTAATTAAATTTTGATGAGTTATCATAGCTAAAAACTTCCCTAATCCATGTTCTGAAAACTACTTTTACATATGTTAGATTTTTCTCAGGATTATGGCACAGAAAAGTGAACAATTTCAGCTTTAAATTCAGCCATTTTCAGGATACATAGTCTCATAATGGATTAATGCAGTAGTTCCCAAAGTGTGCATTGCAGCTTCCTCACAGAGGCACCATGAAATGTTATAAAATTTTTGTAATTTTACTAAATGTAAAAGATATTGGTTATTTCGCAAATTGTATTTGTTAGAATTTGACATAGGGTGTCTTGGGAAAATCTGGATTTAGCAATAGTGCCAAGAATAAAAAAAAGTTTAGGAAACACTGGATTAATGTAAATTACATATTTGTTCAACATTGTCATGATATGAAGATTTTGCTTAATATCTCAGGGTGGGGTAAAGATTAAGTAATGAAATTTGGCATGGTGGCTTGTATATGAGGGACATTGATACTATTAAATTTTGGTGTTAAAGGTCAAGGGGGGTGAGGAGATAAAGGAAGCCTTGTGTATTTCCAGTAGGGTTAGACTTAATAATGAGTTTACTCATTACTAACATTTATATATATATTTTTTTTTTTATAAAACTTTCCCTACCCTCAAAAGTAAGCTTTTTGCTGTTTTATAGTAATTCAAACTACAAAAACTTTCATATAAGAAAATTCATAACAGATAGCACCATACACAATTTAATTAAGTTATGTTGTAATTAAAATTTATAAAAGTTATTTTCTAAATAAGATCTCATAATAGCCAGAAAGTTATGCAACTCATTGCTGGAATTTTTTTTTTTTTGTAATTGTCTGGTAAAGTTAGGCACTGGCACAGTTGTCAAACACAATAATTCTTATTTTAGTGCCATTTGACGATTCTTGCTCCAAAAGCTACAAGTTTTTTACCGGCAGACATCACCTTTAAATTGATGAACCATTAAAAATTTTTAAATTTTGATACAAAAAG